TTATGAATGACACAATTCCCCCCCAACCCCCTGCCTTGCCATGGCATGTTGCAACACTCACTTTTAAATTGGTTTTTAAATCATTTGGAAGTGGTGTGTTCCTTGTGCTGTATAATATTGTGGTGAGAGATGAAACTGACAAGGCTCCCAAGGAAAGTCTGGGTAAGCCCTTTGTCAATTTTGCTTCAGCAGAGGCTCTCTGGCAGAAGTCTTAAGGCAAAATCTAGGTGGTGATATGAGTCAAACCCTTTCCTTGCCGTGGCATGCCACCACAGGAGTGCTCTTGGCATCTGCCAAACACCACCAGTGCCAAATCTGCTCTTCCTAGTCCCCTGCCTGTAAAATGTGTCCTTATTCGTGAAACCTTTTATCTTGCCATTCTCTCTCCCCCTCTCCATTTTCTGAATACTGTACCAGTTGCTGGAAGCCACAGGAGGGGAGAGAGTGTTATTGTGCTCAGGTTTTGCTTACAGGCTTCCTACAGGCATCTGGCTGGCCACTGTGAGAATAGGATTCTGGACTAGTTGGGCCACTGGTCTGATCCTGCAGGCTCTGCTTATGTCTTTATGGAGGCGGTTGGCTCTTTCTGTTGCACAAATCTAGTACAAGGGACAGGCAGAGATCACCTGCATAACCACATGCAGCAAAACTGCTCTATTCCTAATCTAGGCACACGGCTGGATTATAGGCCCTGAAGTATCTGTATTTGTGGGGATTTGTGGGCCTGTCAAGTGGGGAAAGAGAAAAGTGATTGGTGGGGCATGCTTTGACTCCTTGTGTGCGGGAAAGGCCTTAAGGTTTTCAATGGGAGCTCTGTAAAACTAGACTGGCATGTTTTTCATGAAAAGCAGTGTTGGTGGAGTTTTTCCCCCTCTGTGAGTGGGAGTGTTCAAAGATTAGGTCAGCTAAGAAGCCCGCAAGCCTACAGGGGGAAAAACCCAAACCCCTCCAGGCCTGTCTTTCCGGCCCTTGAGCCTGTCCCCCGGCCACATGCCTCACCAGCATCCTCAAGTGCTTTTGCCTGGCTAGGGTATTTTGTGGCCTGTGATAATGTCTCTTTCCTACCATGGTGATGCCCGATAGGCTTGTGAAAGTATGTGTGTTGTTGTTTAGTTGTTTAGTCATGTCCGACTCTTCGTGACCCCATGGTCACACACCAGGCACTCCTGTCTTCCACTTCCTCCTGCAGTTTGGTCAAACTCATGCTGGTAGCTTCGAGAACACTGTCCAACCATCTCGTCCTCTGTGGTCCCCTTCTCCTTGTGCCCTCCATCTTTCCCAACATCAGGGTCTTTTCCAGGGAGTCTTCTCTTCTCATGAGGTGGCCAAAGTATTGGAGCCTCAGCTTCACGATCTGTGCTTCCAGTGAGCACTCAGGGCTGATTTCCTTAAGAATGGATAGGTTTGATCTTCTTGCAGTCCATGGGACTCTCAAGTGTCTCCTCCAGCACCATAATTCAAAAGCATCAATTCTTCGGTGATCAGCCTTCTTTATGGTCCAGCTCTCACTTCCATACATCACTACTGGGAAAACCATAGCTTTAACTATACGGACCTTTGTCGGCAAGGTGTTGTCTCTGCTTTTTAAGATGCTGTCTAGGTTTGTCATGTGTATGTGTATGTGTAGGTTTGTCAAAGTATGTGTAGCAACCTCTGAAAAAGTAAGCGTCACTTGTGTTCCTTCACTCAATTTTGCCTCTTGATCCATGCATCATTGGCATCTATTCTCCTCCTCCCCCCAAAAAGTTTGACCCACTATTGGGCTCAAAAAGGTTCCTCACCCCTGGGGCACTTATTGAAGTCCATAATATTTTTTGAAGCTTACTGAACCAAGAGGCTCTGCCTCCTTCTGCGTATGCTGTGCCTCTGTTGTGGAAAGTCATTTGAAGCCAATATTTTTATGTACAGTGGCATGGTAGACTACAATGGACTCTGGGTGTGTGTTTGTCTTCGTTTCAGGCACCACGCCAGCAAAATACCAACAAGTTCCCTTGAAAGGAGAGCATGGCGTCCCTTTTACCCTCTGAGTCCTGCTCAGGGCCAGGCAATCCTGTCATGGAGACAGTGAGGATACTGCTTGGTTTTATTTTGGTCATGGGACATTGAATAGGATTAAAATGGGACACCTATTGATGGCCAGGCCAGGAAAGTTATGGTGTCATGGTTGGATGGACCTAGCGAGTAGGACACACCCCTGCCCTTCTATGAAATGCACACCCATTGTTTTGTTAAACAATGTAAAGGAACAGTAATAATACAACCATGACTTTTGTTCCTGCTGAGTTCTCCATCCAAAGTACACAGGGAATAGTTGGGCACTGGTTCCTAGTCTGTTTCCAGGCCCAATTTAAAGTATTAGCTATAACCTTTGAAATCCTCACTGCTTATAGGAAGAGGCCATTTGTTATTCATTGCAAGGAATGTTTGCCGTAGAGAGTAGATGCAAATGGAAGGTGAGTGTACTAGATTGTGTGATCTCTTTTCCTCAGTTATGAATGTTGCGTGGAATCACAGAGTTGTAGACTTGGAAGGGACCCAAGATGACTTGGGGGTCATCTAGACCAACACTTGCAATGTAGAAATCTTTTGCTCAACATGGGGCTTGAATCCATGACTCTGAGTCCCAGGCTCTGCTGACGGAGCTGTCTAAGTATGATAAGGGTAAAAATTTAATAAAAGTGTTAAAAGGGATTAGAAGGCTGGGTTTTTAAAAATAAAAATAATAGAAAACACTGCTTAATTTTTCCTCATGTTTAGAAAATGCCTTATTCATTTCAGAAGTCGATAAATGTAGCGAACTATTTCTGCTTTCAGAAAAGTGGCTGTCTGAACTTGTTGTCATTGGAGTCCCATGGAGAGACTGTGGTCACACGCTGGTATCTGTGGTTGTGGTGGTGGAGGTGGAGGCCAAACCTCTGGGGCTGGGCAGGGCAACCTTTTGTCCTCCAGATGTTTCTGCAGATCTCATCAGCCCAAGGTGGGATGTGTAGTTCAGCAACATCTGGAGGGCCAAAGGTTCCCCACATCTGTTCTTGTAGCATATAAGTGTTCTTCATTATGCCCCACACTCTTAAGCACAACTAATCTTACTTAATCGTCATACTTCAGTAACTTTGCTGCAGAGTAGTTATTGTGGACCGTAGCAATGTCAGCTGGCTCTACATTGAGATTATTTGGGTGGCTGCAACTGCTTGCTAATCAAGTAGATAAGCATTTGCTGTTTCCTCTATCCTAGGATGTTGATTCATGCTTGATAGGAATTTATAATATTTCAAAATTAGATTTTTGCTGAGTTTTAATGCATGCTAAAATTAATTATAGACTCTAACTAAAAATGTAAGTAGGAAATGCTGCCTCTTATTTAATTTTCTGCCAGAAATTCGATTGACTTCCTGTTTTTCACTAACGCAGCATAATGATTTCTTCTTAAAGCACGCTGCCGGCAAATCATTGCCGAGTGTATTTATCGTTGGGTTCTGTGGGGCTCTTCCAGTTTCTCCATATCATTGCACACCCATTCTGTTGTAGTTTAATTGTTCTAATGTAATAACAAGTTTTTAGTCCAAGTTTTGAAATCTGGCTTAATTCCACCATGTTTCGTTAAATAAGAAACCAGATCCTGCAGCTTCTATGCACACAATGCCCGCTTACATCAGTGAATGGTGGAAGAATCTCCTTATATGCTGTCTCTGTTGCCTATCTTTTTATTTCTCTCCCCTGCAAAATCCTTGACCTCCAGCTGCACTCTTCTCCCCTTTCTGCTAAGCACTACCCCACGTTCTCTAGCATATGAACAGATGGGTCATTTCTGGTCTGTGTCAGGTTTGAATATGTTCATCCATTTGTTCTTGTGTTGGCACCAAGCTGTTGTTTTAAAGAAGGTCATAAGCCTTCCCCCCCAATATGCATTATTTGTATGCATTTTATCCTAAAATACATGTTTGGGTGCATTCTTTGAGCAGAGAACTGTATTGCAACATTAGAACCATGCGTGTGAAAAATCATAGAATAACTACAATTTCTGGTCCACCACTCCCAGTTACAGTTTATAGGTATAATGTAGGACTGTGAAGTGCAAAATAGGAAACGAGAGTGGCAGAAATAGTAGTAAATGCGATTTGCAGTTGCTGTGGATTATTCAGACGTAGGCCAACCAAGCCAGGCACATCAGTGGAAATCTTCCCAGTGTTAAAGCACTCTTATAAGAATTCTTGGGACAGGGGATTAAGAGCAGATTGAGGATGGCCTCGGGTATATATGTGACATACCAGCCTGCCAGATCTGCTGTTTTGTGGTTAGCTGCCTGGGTTCGTATGATCTAGGAAGACCACATACATGGCAGTTGCATCCTTCATGACTTAGAGGTGCTGGTGGCCAGTTTAGATTCAGGTCCATGGAAGGAGCCTGGCGAAGAGCATCTGCTAAGTTCATAGCTATGAGATCTGAGTGCCAACTTCTGTTGTTCGTCGCGGATTAGTACTAAATTAACGGCTCCAACGAGACAAGGCTGTTGACATGTTTTCTTAGGTTTAATTACTAGCTGCTCAAAAGTAATTATTTTGGCACAAATACTTTGATGTTCTAATCAGCATTACTTCTGCACTCAGAAACTGGAAAAAAGAATGTGAGTTGGCTCAAATAAATAGAGGGTGTGAGGAAGCGTGGATAATATATACTCTACGTCGTCCCCTTCGTGTAAATAAAGGCTTTCATCTTGCAAATGTTTATCTTTATAAAAGGCCATGCTGCTTATAGTGGATCGTTCTCCCCCCGCCCTTGTTCTTGGCAAACGTGTCATCCTAAACAGGGGTGGCCAGCTGTTTTTCTGTCAAGAGCCATATATCTGGGATAATCTTATCAGGGTTACATGCTGGTAGTGAGTGGAGCCAGAGCCAATGGTGTGTGATGAATTAACTAATCTGGAACATAGGCTGCCCTCCTTCAATTTTCACCATGGCTACCTCAGCTCAGAATCCCCAGTTTTAGGCAGGTTTATCCAGGTCTACCTGGATAGCTCAATTGGTTAGAGCATGGTGCTGATAATGCCAAGGTTGCAGGTTTGGTTCCCATATGGGACAGCTGCAGGGGGTTGGACCAGATGATCCTCAGGGTCCCTTCCAACTTTACAATTCTATGACTATGATTTTTCATAAGTTAGTTCCATTGGGCTTGATGGGATTACTCTCAAATAAGTATACAAATGATCTTTTTCATATGCTAGGCCCGGGGCCGACCCAAGATGCTTTGCTGTTGTAGGCAAAATGCCCCAATGCCCCCCTTCCTCCCCCAGCACCCCTTGGCAGATCCTGGTCCCTCACTCCCTGTCCTCATCATCGAACCCTCACTGCTTCCAGCCATGTCACTGTGACTGTACCATGACCCGTACCTATGCTGCTGCCACAATTCAATAGCAGCAGCAACACCACCACCAGCAAGGGTATAGCAGTGAGTGCAGTGGGGCTGTGTTGGTGGCATGGGTGGGGCTGGCAGCAGCACATTGGCGGGTGTGTGGAGGAGGTCAGATCTGCAAATGGCTCTATCTTGCCTAATGCATGGGCTGCCCCTGGACAGACCAGTGCAGCTGCTCTCCTAGAGCAAGTGAAATAAATTCCTTTCTGACTTCAGTGTGCTATGCACAGAGACACATGCATGTGTAGGGAGAAATCCCCCCTTTCCCCAAGCCACACTGACAGGAAAAACGGTTTTATTTTTATTTTCTCTGTCTAATAAAACACTACTCACAATTTCTTTGAAACAGTTTTAAAAGCCAAGATAAATGACCCAGAAAGGAGGAAGGGGTGTAATGGAAGAATGGGGCAGCTTCAGGAGGTTTGTGCAGGGCCCATAAAAGAAGAGGTTGCCCACATAGGTCCCTAAACCAGATTCACTTCTCCTGTTTTGACTACCAACATAAACCTTTCAAAATAAAAGGACTTTATGCTGGCATGCAAACTTATAGCCTGTTCTCATAGCAAACCATTCAGACGACCTGTTTGCAATGAAGAAAGGCAGCTAACTACAAACAGCACCGTCTCAGTAGCAGGTTGGGTGCCTGTAGAATCTGTGGGTTAAATAATGTCCAGATTAAAAATGTGTTATTGGATGGGTACAGCCTGTCAACACAGTCTGAAGGAAAGCCTGGAAGAACTGGGAGCTGTCAGCCTGCTGTGATGTCTTGTCTTCCCTCCAAGACACATCCAGAGTTTTCAGCTTCCTTCCTGGAAATGAATGAGCTACAATCATCCAGGGAAATCTTAGTCACTTCTGTCAGGAGAAATATTTGTTTGGTTTTCAATTGTGTTGGGCAGGGGAAAGGATTCAGGTGCAAGAAAGAATAGAAAGACTTGTGTAATGGGTTAAACAGACTGGTTTTAGAGCTGATATTATCACTCGAATTGTATATTTTGGCTACAGGCTTGAGAAATGATGCAAAGCAACGTCTAGCTACTAAAGCCTTGCCTGGCTGCACACTGCCTTGCAGTGTCTCCAGCCCTCTATAATAAGAAGTGGCTGGTTTTATTTTCCCAAGGAACTGCTTGATGAGAAACAGTGCTTTGAAATGGGGAACGCTCCAGCTTTCCAAAATGATTATTTATGTTTTTACTTTTTTACTTTTTCTCACCGCCAGCTCCGAACTGCTGCCTTGTTTTGTTGTAACTTTTCACTGAATCTCTTATAGTTTTGATGAAAATGTACTTTGCAGGTGCCTGGAAACTTATTGATCAAGGGGACTTGAAATAGTTTCTAGGTCACTACTTCCCAATTGGTGGTCTGTGGACCCCAAGGGGGTAACCCATGTAACCCACCCAGGGCACCTGTGGCACCATTCACTTAACAAACACTACCACAGAGATATCAAAATTTTCAAAAGTAGCAGTCCACTGGCTTGGCTTTTGAAAAACAAGGGGTTTGTAGTACTTAGCTAATTGGGAACCACTGCTCTAGCTAGCTTAAAGTCACCCTGAAAGGAACAGTCTGACCAAAGGCCTTTCAAGACACGAGTCTGTAAACCAACAGTGTGTTCCCCAGGTTTCCTGAGTGGGGGATATGGCGATGAAACCAGGTGTAAACTGTGATTCCTTGTTGGTACTGCCGAATACATGGCTGGAATGGACGCAATATAGAAATGAATATAGGCATACCTGGGAGAAATTGCGGGTATGCTGTAATGTAAAACAATTAATTTGTGCTGTGTTAACTTTCTGGATGTTCTTTTAAATATGAAGTTTTCTTTCATAAAAGTTGAGAGTAGGTTCTGTTTGGTTGGAAAACCAGGTTTGATTGATGATTTGTATTATGTCCATGGAATACACATGAAAAGACCCATATGCTAGGCTTAACCTTATTTGACTGCAGCTTTTATCTGGCTTGCTTTACAATGGCATAATACAATATAGTTGAAAAGGCAGTGGCACAGTGCCAAAGAGAGAGTGTTGAACGGTGTGCATGGATAAGAATAAAATTTGCCCTTTCATTTCCCATGTATTGTGTTTGTAACGTCACTGTTACTGTTAATATTAGCACATGCCTGTTACACTGGTTACAAGGTCAGCTTGCAAAACCTCCTTATTTTTCATAGAAGCTTTGATTACTAAGCTATATAACTGGGAGGGAAACACATGTACAGTTTCACTATTGATACCTATATTTTCTTATAATAACTGAGGAACTGGCCCATAACATAGCTGGGAGACATGGAAATTTAAATATTGCTGTACCTAGGAAAGCACAGAACATATCTGCAGTCAAAATTAAACAAAGGAATATGTTACATTGCACCTTACTTTTGAGATTGTTGTTACGTTTGCAGTATTAACCACCTCAATACTGCAAAGCTAATACATGAATCGTCAATGACCAATGGTAACTGTCTCATGTCTAAGTTGATATGGTACACTTCTGCCAGGAAAGACGGATAGTGGGGTGCTTAACTCAAAGGGGTGCCTTTGCGGTTGGTTTTCCCCATTTTGAAGTTATTCTGCATTCTATATCCACAAAGACCTATCCCATTAGCCTGTTCCTGGCTTCAGTGTGGGAGCTTGGGGTGAAGTTCGGCATCTAGCCCTAGTGGAATTTCATTGCTCTGACACAAGTCTATTGTGCGAGCCTCTATGCTTCCCATTCAGCTTCCTGGGCCTCAGGCCATGCTTGCAAGTGGAAGGCTAAAAGGACACAGGCAGACAGAGCAGAATGAAAAGAAGCATATGGTCCACTATTCGTTGTACACCACCAGTTGGGCAACCCTGATTTAGCATTGTAAACAGTGCAGAAGCCTCATGAATGCAAGAGCCAAGAAAGATGCAAGAACAGAGCCTGAGAGACTGAGGAAGGGCTTGTTGGACAAGTTAAAGTGTCAGATTACTTACATGCAGAACAAGGACAGCCCACCAAACTAATTTGGTTAAAGGCTGGGATAGGAGGCATTAGGGAAAACAGCACCAAGTTGCCAGCTAACGTTGACATGGGTGTTTTTACTTTAATAAATAAGTGGCCCTTTTGTTCTGTATAAAGAGCAAACAATGAATATAATGAACTCTTATGAAGAGGAAAAAGGAAGCATTCTCAACAAATGCAGTATAAATTATAACCGACCCTAGTTAAAGATCTCATCCTAGAGTTATTGTGGCCCCATACACCCACTGAAGTGAGTGGGAATCTTGGAAGAATGAAGAATGGGCAAAATTTCATGCTTGCCTGTGATGTTATGTCCCCTCCCCCACTGGCCGCTATTAACTTATTTTCTCTTAGGCATTTTTTTTACAGTATGATGTAATGTGCATACCTAACTCTGCAATTGTGATTTGAGGTGGTGCAGAGCCTGCCTCAGGTGTGCTGATTAGGACGCAGCATCTTCCTGATTTGTGTACATGTGGCAAAAACTTCTAGGTTGTATCCAGTTGTGTCCCTCTGTTCACAGAAGGCTCTTTAGTTCAGTGGAGGTTTCTGTGAATGGAAGTAGGAGAAGCCATTTTTTTTAGGATGGGGATGAAGCGTCCACTGCACCCTCCCAAAATCTACTCTGGTAGCTTGGGAAACTCCACAGAACAGTTGGGATGGAGCTACAGCAGAAAGGGGTGATCGTGAAAATCACATTCCTCATCCTTCTGTCCATTGATGTCTCTGTTGGAGGAAAGAGTCTTCTATGGTTGTGTAGACACAACTGGATACAAATCTTTGTAAAGTTGCCATTCAAGTGCTACAAAGTGTACACGCTCTCTCATAGGGATCAGTCTCTTGAGTTTGGAAAGTAATGTTTAAATTTAATGTATTTGCAACTGCAGTTTCAGTACAGTAAACCCGCTGTTTTTGTGCATTTACCTGTAACTTACCTGCATTCAGGTTTACGCGATTGGCAATTTTTTTAAAAAAAAAGTGGAAAGGGGATGGAAAAGCGGTGGCTGTACCCAATGATGTTCTCAAGTGTCCCAGCAAAATAGGAATACAACAGAGCATGGAGATTCTGTATATGTGGAATTTTATTTTTATAACTACTCTGGGTCTTAGTAGATGCTTGTTGTTCGATTGAAACATGCATATGATCAATAAAAAAACAAACCTGAGTTGATTTCTTATGCATTCATGTTCATTTTTAAATTTTAGAATCTAAATGCAAAGAAACACTTCTTCATCTCGCAATGAGACTGGGGTTGGTTAAACTTTCCCAGTTCCTGTTATGCCAGCCAGGTGGGACAGTTGCATTCACTCTACCTAATGAAGATGGGTTCACACCTTTGGACTTGGCTTTACAGAATGGGCACTTGAGGCTTGTTGAACTCATTTCCAGGTAAGTGGTATGCCTTCATATGAATTTTTAATGCTGTGGGCCAGATTTAATAGCTCATATCATATGTATGCTTCTTTCATGTTCAGCCAATACCTTGGATTGGATACTAATATGAAACAAGTATAAAAATGAGAAGGGGGGGGAGATCCCATCCTATTCACATTTGGAAACAGGGCAGACAAAGAGGGGGCATCAAAGGAGATGAGGTTAATTTTAGGTTAATTCCCTAGCAAATGTCCTTGATTTGCACTGCATTTATTTTTACATGTTCCTACAAGAAATTTAGAGTTTTTT